CTCAGAGCCGGTCTTCCTCAGCAAAAAGAGGAGGATTAGCATGGATGTTAGCTCAGGGCTGATCTTCCTCACAAACAAACAAACAAACAAACAAACAAAAGACCACATTGCGGGGGCACTCTGGCTTAGAAGCCCCAAACCATAAACACACAGCACAACCTCTGTAGGAGCCCAGCTGCTACATCCAGGGCTTCCCGCACTTCCAGAGCACTCCCATGCAGAGCGGCCCACCCTTGGGCTCCCCAGCCCACGTTTTCGTCCACTCGCCCTCCCACAGATGCATCTCCAGGCAGAGGCTGTGTTTTCTGGCTGCACAGTGAATTCTGATGCTCCAAACCCCATCGGGATTTTGGGGAGACAGAGCTGAGAAGGTAACCCAAGGGCATGTTTCCACAGAAACAGGAGGGAAAGTGGCCCTTTACTCACAACATAGAGGCAAACACTCAGATGGCCCGGCACAGGCATGCTGTCCCCTCACATAAGGATCACTTCCCTTCCAGCACTTGACTGAGGGCCTGTCACATCAGCTGGACTCCCACTGACTGAGTAAACAGCAGTTTATTCCACGTGTCCTTGCTCCTCTGACCCAGCCGCCTGCTGCTCCTCAAAACCTCTATCTGCTAGCTGTTCCCTCGTCTAGAAGATTCTCTCCCAAATCTCCCCCAGCTGCCTCCTCCGCAGAGGCCTTCTCTGAGGGCACTGTTAAAACGCTCACCTCTTCCTCATTCCCCACTTGCTTTTCTTCCAGGGGTCAACACACTCCAAGAGTGCAGCGTGTACTTACTGAGCTACTGTCTGCTGGTCACACTCCTGCCCCATGTCAGAATGTCAGCCCCACAGCAAGGCCATGGCTCTGTCCTGTCCACCACTAGTCCCACTGCCTCATCTGGTATGTGGCAGCTGTTTGATACATACCTCATCAACCAACGGATGGATGCTAAGTGGGGCAAGAGAGGTAACAACTAGCTGCCTGAGGAGGGGAGGGAAGGCAAAGGCTCCCAGAGAAGGTGACATTTAAGCTGTATCTTGAAGGATAAATAGGATCCCGCAGGGCAGAGAAAGGAGAAAAAAGCGTCACAGGCCAGGGACCTGCACAGGCAGAAGAAATGAAGGGTCTGGAGATGCATAGATGCGGCTGAACACAGTGAGCGAAGAGGGGGGCAGCAGGGCTAGAGCGTGGGTGGGGGGCCAAGGAACGGAGCCCCAGCTTTAGGAAGCGGGAGCAACCATGCGGGCCCAAGAGCCTCAGCAACTTTTGAGCGATGAGTGTGGTTTCCGGCCAGTCCCTGAGGGAGAGGTGTGTGTGCACCCTCTGGTCAGCTTCCTGGCACACCCCTTTCTGGCCTTTCAACAGCGCGTGAGGAGGTGGAAGGACACGTGTCCTCCAGCAGTAGCAGTTGGAGCAGCTCCACTTGGACGGAGTCTGTCCTTGACCAGCTGTGTGGCAGACTGTGGCTTCTGTCGTCTCTAGGACATGGATCACAGCACACATCAGGATGCTTCGAGATGAACTGAAGTCTAGCCAGTGCAGCGGGTGGGACGGGGCCTGGCACAGGAGCGCTCACTTGTTACCTCTGGTGCGGAACAGCAGAAACCCCAGGGTTCTAAGGACAGGTCGGGGTGCCACCTTCAGCTGCCGGTCTATTTTGGTGTCTTGCCCAAAAAGGCCGATGCTCTGCATAAAGCAGAAGCACCAAAACTGTCTGCTAAGTAATTCCCATTCCACGCCTGTCAACACCGCAACATGCTACTGAATTTTACAAAAACTAAGTAAAGACAGACGGGCAGAATCGTCTCATTCATTACATACTTACTGACAACCGAGTGCGTGTTTCATAAATACCAGCTGTCTTACAGCAAATCCATTTTGATGGCATATTTTTTCCTCCACTGCATAAACACTTCAGCAATAAAAGAAATTAGAGGCAAGAATCCTCCCACAGTACTGCTTGCCTTACAAAGGAGATTTAATTTGGGGACAGGCAGAGCTGAAGTCATGGTATGCTGCTTTTTGCACCCGAAATTAAGTCAATAATGTTTCTACATTGCTGCAGAATGTTCCAGTGAACATCCGATGCATGGGTGGGCCACCAGAGCCTTATCTAATCTGCGATTATTGGATATTTAGATACCTCCCATTTTTTTGGAATGAAAGATGTTACAAGGAACACACAGCTAGGTCTTCTCATGTTTTCCTCTAGAATGAATTCTTAGATATTCCGTGGTCATAATTTCCCTGCTTCTTGGCATATGTGCACTGTATGCAGCTGATTCCTTCTGGAAACGGGGCTGGGCATTTTCTACTGTCCTCACCATCCACGAGCAATGCATTGTCAATGTAACTGCACCAGCGTTGAATCTAATCACTGAAAACATCCCCCCTGAATTCACTAAGCATAAACAGATGCCTGGTTGCTGTTTTAATACGCTGTCTTGACATGAGTACAGCCATGTTTGGCCGCTCCATTGACCTACAGCCACCAGCACAAAAAGAAATATAAAAGCTGCTTTCTGCATGGTGGGAACTGGCCCTTCTCCCATGGAGATAGTTGCAATGTGTAAAACTTTCAAGGCCTTTTGGCGCTGCAGCCTGGGGCAGACTGGCCATCTGTGCCAGGCTGGGACGATAAGCAAGGTAAACAATGCACCACACAACTACTGGGGTGGGACGATAGCCAGGGGGCTCAGTGTACCTACACCACTGATAACCATTTGTGCATGGAAACACTAGATGCTTGCTCTGTAAACTCTGTAACTGCTTATATAAACTGCTGGAAACTGAGCCCCAGTGAGAGTTCCACCCTTGGAAGGGACGCCTTGCCCAGGATGTGTGATTCCCGCCCAGCCGTGTTGATTGGAAGGACTCTCCCGGCAGTGGGGCGTGGATGTTGTGAGTAATTGATTTATTGTGAAGTAATTGATCTGATGTGTTCTCTTTTCGGTCAATCTGGTGTTTCTCTTTCCAATTGATTTGTGTCATTTCCCTTCAGTCGATCTGGTGTTTCCCTTTCCGATCGATCTGATATTTTTCCCTCTTATTATATGACCTATTCGAATCTGCTGCTATCTCAGCCGATGTGGATGTTTTCCCTTTCCAGTCGAGCTGGTGTTTTTTCTCTCTTATTATTTGACCTATTCGGATCTGTCTGTGGACTATCGCCTTTACTATCCTCTATACAATAAAATATATCTTCAGTCCATTTGTTTGGAGTGGAAAGTTCCTTTACGTCTCCAATTGAATCCCCGAACCTCTCATAACATAAGCACTGTAAAATTTAGAGTATGAGCAATTTTTCTTCTTGCAGTCATGTTATTCATCTATAGGTCTTTTGTCATTTCTACAAATTTAAGGCTTTTCGTGAAGTCCAGACTGCCCGTCATGTCTGCCGCAAACTCCCCCCGCAATCCACTGTTCATGTTTAACTTGCTTCCCAGATGCAGACCCCTTTGTCTGCCCAGGCCTCCAGTTTGCCAGGAACTGTCCTTGTGCTGCCTCCTCTACCCCCCGTTTCCATGGAAACAGCCACATTCATTCAACACAACCCCCACCCCTCGGCCTCTGAGGATCCTGGGGCACCTCCCCACTGCCCGACCTGCCTGGGAAGAGCCTCAGGCAGGCTACTTTCTTGAACTTTCGAGGTACAAACTGAGAAGTGGATAAAGCCTGTTTACAGCAAGAGAAGGCTGCAGCAGTGGGTTAGAGAGGAGTTTAAACGAGAGGAGAGGGGCCGGCCCCATGGCTTAGCAGTTAAGTGCACATGCTTCGCTACTGGCGGCCCGGGTTTGGATCCCAGGTCCAGGCACACACTGACACACCGCTTGTCCGGCCATGCTGAGGCGGCGTCCCACATACAGCAACTAGAAGGATGTGCAACTATGACATATAACTATCTACTGGGGCTTTGGGGAGAAAAAGGGGGAAAAAAAAAAAGGAGGAGGATTGGCAATAGATGTTAGCTCAGGGCCGGTCTTCCTCAGCAAAAAGAGGAGGATTGGCATGGATGTTAGCTCAGGGCTGATCTTCCCCACAAAATAAATAAATAAATAAACAAGAGGAGACAGCATGTCCTGCATTCTCTCTGTGCCAGTGTCTGAGTGCAGGCAACGCCTGGGCCCGGCTCTACCTGGCCCTGGGTCTGAGCCACCTCTGAGCCCCTCAGCAAACTCTCCTTTACAGAACACTGGATCAGAGGGAGTCTTAACTAATAAAGATGTTGTCAGTTTTCATGTTCTTGAATCTACCTTTACTATCAAGCTTAGAGAATCATCATTCCTCCAGGTAATGGAGAGTCAGTTTTATTCTGTTAGACGTTTTTTTTTTTTAATTTTTTTATTTATTTATTTTCCCCCCAAAGCCCCAGTAGATAGCTGTATGTCATAGCTGCACATCCTTCTAGTTGCTGTATGTGGGACGCGGCCTCAGCATGGCCAGAGAAGCAGTGCGTTGGTGCGCACCCAGGATCCGAACCCGGGCCCCCAGCAGCGGAGCGTGCGCACTTAACCCCTAAGCCATGGGGCCGGCCCTCTGTTAGACTTTCTACAACTAGGAGCTATGTATTTAACTTTTTTGTGTGTGAGGAAGATTAGCCCCGAGCTAACATCCGTTGGCAATCCTCCTCTTTTTGCTGAGGAAGATCGGCCCTGAGCTAACATCCGAGCCCATCTTCCTCCACTTTATATGGGATGCTGCCACAGCATGGCTTGACAAGCAGTGTGTCAGTGCGTGCCCGGGATCTGAACCTGTGAACCTCAGGCTGCTGAAACGGAGCGCGCCAACTTAACCGCTATGGCTGCGGGCTGGCCCCTGTATTTAACTTTTTAATCCATAAACAATTGATGTTTAATAATTAACTTTTCAATCTATTGGGAATATATTTGTATTATAGGGGGCATGAATCTAAATTATTCTTCTAGGCCAAAAGTAACTAGTTTCTCCAACATCATCTATTAAACAAGCCTCCTCTTCCTTCAGTTTGTGGGACCCCTATATTCACGTCAGCACATCTGTGGGTGAGATGTGTATCCTGGCCCACTGAGGTGACACGCCTGTTACCACTCCCCTTTTCCGTCACTGCAGCCTGGTAACTATTTAAATAGCTGACAGAGCAGGCACCTCCCTTCATGTGTCCTCTGCTCATACATTCTTTCCTGTTTTATCACCAAATTAATTGTAAAATCTGATTTAAGGACAGCCTTTCAGTTCTTAGTAATGCCATCAACAGGAACTCGGACCTGGTAATAAGACTCAAAACCACCTCTCCCATCTGTTAAGAGAGTGGTTAGTCTCCAGAGCACGTCCACAGCACGAGCCAACCGGATCCCACCTGATCCTGACGGCAGACTGAGGAGGCTGGTGTGCTCCCACCTTACAGATGCGGTGTATGGGGTCCACATAGCCAGAGGCCTCGCACGTGGGCACGGCCAGGACAGTGCTGAGCTGTGAGCCACTCAGCAAGGTGAGCTGAGAGCCACTGTGGCAAGGCGAGGTCAGGCAGGCCCTTGGAACCCAACTCTCTAGGTCAGAATCTAGGCCCCTCCACTTACTGTGTAATTTTGGTTACATAACTTGTTCTCAGGTTCCTCATCTGTACAATGGTAAAAGTAACAGTACCTACACTTCACTGGATCCTTGTGGGAAATAAAGCAGATGATATAGGCAAAGGACTTAGCATTAGTACCCAGCACACAGTCAGGACCTGTTACTGTGAGCTGTTATTCTATGCTGACTGTTGGGAGGCAGCACCCTTTCCTGCTTGTTCCTCCCCTCTAAGACCTCACCTCAAGGGGCCCGTGCAGCTGACAGCAAACAACGGAGGGCCTGGCATCCGGGTTACTCCATCTTCCCGAGCTCTTTATTCTAAATATATCCAGGCCAGGCTAAGGATGAGCAGGGAGAGCGCCAGTGCTTTAACCCAATGACAGATATGACTTTTAGGGTCAATAGTTTCGGATTTTCCATCAGAATAATGTTTTGACAGTAGATATCTTTTCTCTCTTTTTTTTTTTTTTTTGGTGAGGAAGATTGGCCCTGAGCTAACATCTGTTGCCAATCTTCCTCTTTTTGCTTGAGGAAGATTGTCCCTGAGCTGACATCTGTGCCAATCTTCCTCTATTTTGTATGTGGGATGGTGCCACAGCATGGTTTGATGAGCGGTGTGTAGGTCTGCGCCCGGGATCCGGGTCCGTGAACCCCAGGCCACTAAAGTGGAGAGTGCAAACTTAACCACTACGCCACCAGGCCGGCCCCTGACAGTAGACATTTTTTAACAAACAGTATGAAATGTTTTTCAGGCCTTATATCAACACCAAGAGAAAAGGATTAAAGGTTATTTTGAGCACTAGACTTTCCGTCCAAAAAGAAAGGACAGCATGGTAGGTAAAGGGAACTGAACACAGTCTGGCCCCCCTGGCACATCGAGCACAAGGGATGGGGGACAAGATGTGAAAGAGGTGAGACAGGCAGGGGCTGGGCAGCCTTCCACCAGACGGAGAAGCGCAGCTGTCATTCTGTAGTCATGGCAAGTCTAAGAACCTAGGCTGAACGGCAACTATCAGATTAGTTTGAGTAGAGCAGTTTGGCTAAACTGCAAAGAATGGATTTAAAGCAGGAGTTGATAAATTACAGCCTGCAGGCCAAATCTGGCCCACCGTCTGTTTCTGTAAATAAAGTCTTATTGGGACACATCACACCCATTCGTCTATGCATCAGCCATGGCTGCTTTCACAGTGCAACAGCAGAGTCGAGTAGCTGCAACTGAGACCTGGTATGGTCCACAAAGACTGAACTGTTTATTATCTAGCCCTTTACAGAAACAGTTTGCCAACCCCTGATTTAATGATTGGAGGCCAAGCAACCAATGAGGAAGTTAGGCAGAGAACTACAAGGGCCTGAACGAAAGCAATGTTTAAAAGATAAGAAGTGGCAAGAGTGTGACTTTTAGTTAAAACGTTAAGAACATTTAGCAGTTACAACATCAAGAAATGTTTAAGAGGTAAACCTGGAGGAGAGATGAAGGCGTGAGGGAGAGAGGCTTCAAGGAGGAATCCCAGGTTTCTGGCTCATGTGAGCTGCTGGGACCATGGACTGAGATCAGGAATCCAGGAAGAGCAGCTGGTGTGGGGGAGCGACAGGCTGGAGAAGCCATGGGACCTTGGGATATAAGCCCAAAGGTCAGCGGGAGGTCATCAATAAGAATGACCTGAAATCACGAGAGCTGATCTCACTCAGAGAGAAAAGAGAGCAGGAAGCGGACAGACGTATGTCCCACTGAGCATCCCCTCAGAGCGCCTGCCCAAAGGGGGCCGTGACTTGCCTCCTGACCTTCTTCTACTTCATTCAACATCCTTTCTTTTTTCTTCTCATGTAGTTACCCAAACAAAAACAATGTTAGCAGGAAAAAACAAATGAACTAACCTGATTCAGCTCTCAGTCCCAGGCCTTTAGCTTTTAGTCTTGAGTGAATAAATTCTTCTTTTTCCTAAAATAAGACAACTATCAGAACTCCCTTTCTCTGTCTTTCCATGTTTCCTTGGCTAGGATACAGCTCGCAGTGTTCTGGAGAAGTCTGGATGTGGATTTCCAGAGAAATGGCCCATCTCAAAGCCTGTTTTAAACCATCTGATTTTGGTTAAAAGTTTCATGCTTGAAACAGGATTTGAAAACGAGATGTTTAATGAACTTTGGGAGGCACTGTTTGTTTATAAATCCACAGAATAAGATAAATACAGTCCATTTGACTTAGCCTGCCCAAGTGGGTAAACACATAAAGCTTAAATGTTTTTCTTCTGGATTGGAATATTCATACTTCTTTCTCATATAGTTTATTTATGAGTGTGCTGTTAAGAATTCTGAATTCTCAGGAAGAATGACAACACATCACAGAAACTCATATTTTTATGAACTTGAACACACATACACACATACACAGGTAAAAGATGTAGTTCTAGCTCTGGCTCTGCTACTCCCTTTACTTCCCCGAAAGCCTAAAGATCTGCGATTCTATGAATGATCAATATTTCTTATATACAGTTACATACTGGTTTAAAAATTACATGCATATATATGTACATAATAATGTACATGTAGGAGAGAGCGCGAAGGGAGGGGGGACTGAGACGCTACCAAATCACCGACAGGCAAAGCAAATACTAAAGGTTTAGCGCCCCCAAGTGGCCAACTAATATTTCTCATTCTGACCTGAAGCCTGAACTTACCTTACGAAAGGTCAAATTCTGGTTTGCCCAGAACTGTTGGTTCCATTCTTGTGTTTCTTGTCTTAATTCTCTTAGCTTTTGTTCCAATGGTGATTCGTTTTCAGGGATGTAAAAGTGAACAGGTCGAAGGTTTGAATATTTATCTGGGGGTCCTATCCAATCATGGCAAGATTTTCTTGGAGGACAGAATCTTGAGACCTTTAACAAAATGCATGGAGTTAACATACAACAAAACAAATCTCTAGTATTATAAAATAAACAGTCCAGATTTACTAAAGTCCTTCATTAGCTTCCTCTTTTTAAGACTATGTGCCAGGGAATATCCGAATTAAAAGAACTATAATAAATATTATTAACATTAACACTATACCGAACATGTTCAACAATAGTGCAGGAATAAATCAACATTCTAATGCAAAAAAAAGAATCTCAACCTGTATTTTGCACCATAGACAAAAATTAACTCAAAATGGAGCAAAGACCTAAATATAGAATCTAAAACTATAAAACTTCTAAAACACAGTAGAAAATTTTACTATCTTAGATTAGGCAAAGATTTCTTAGACACAAGGAGGATTAGCAAGGATGTTAGCTCAGGGCTGATCTTCCTCACACACACACAAAAAAATAAATAAATAAAACACATAAATAAAGCACAACCATAAAACAAAAAATAGATGTATTGGACTTCACCAAATTTAAAATCTTCTGCTCTCCTAAAGACACTATTTAAAAAAATTAAAAGACAAGCCACAGACTGGGAGAAAATATATGCAAATCTGGACTTGTTTCCAGAATATATAAAGATTTCTCAAAACTCAATAATAAGGGACTGGCCCAGTGGCGTAGCGGTTAAGTGCATGCACTCCACTACGGCAGCCTGGGGTTCGGATACCGGGCACGTACCGACGCACCGCTTGTCAAGCCATGCTGTGGCAGCGTCCCATATAAAGTGGAGGAAGATGGGCATGGATGTTAGCCCAGGGCCAGTCTTCCTCAGCAAAAAAAAAAGAGAGAGAGAGAGAGGAGGATTGGCGACAGATGTTAGCTCAGGGCTAATCTTCCTCACCAAAAAAAAAATAAAAAACCCTCAATAATAAGAAAACAGACAAACCAATTAAAAATGGGCAAAATATCTAAATAAAAGTTTCTTTGAAGAAGATATATAGATGGAAAATAAGCACATAAAAACATGCTCAATATCATTAGTCATTAGGGAAATGCAAATCAAAACCACAATGAGATACCACTACACACCTATTAATATGGCTAAAAAACACCAAAACAAAAATATCGGACAATACCAGTACTGTCAAGGATGTAAAACAATTGAGCTCTTATACGTTGCTGGTGGGATAAACAGCACAGCCACTTTGGAAAAAAGGTTGGAAGTCCACTATAAAATTAAACATATAGTTAACGTACAACCCAGCAACCCCACTCCTCAGTTATTTATCCAAGACGAACAAATACACACATTCACACAAAAACCTGTATGTGACTGTTTAAAGTTGCTTTATTTATAACCGCCAAAATCTAGCAACAGCCCAAATGTCCATCCACTGGTGAATGGAAAAACCAAGTATGGCTCGTCCATGCGATGGATACTAATTAACAACAGAGGAGAACAACAGGCAATACAGATGAATCTCAAATGCATTATGCTCACTGAAGAAGCCACCCTCAAGAGGTTGCATACTGAATGATGCTATTTATATGAAATTCTGGGAAAGACAGGTGTTGGGGTAGAGGAAGGAGTTGACCACAAAGGAATCTTCTAGGGTGATGAAAATGTTCTATATCTTGAATTGTGATGCACAAACTTGTCAGGAGTGAATTTTACTGTATATAAATTGGACTTCAATAAATCTGATATTAAAATAAGATCAGCAGAGTAATCAAAGGCCTACCTTTCCACTTGTCTGTTAAAAGATCAATGTAACCAAAATTGATGGGGGAAAAATACCATTCAATTTTGAAATCTTTTAGACCTTATTTTTATTTTCTTTATTTTTTTATTGATTTTTTGTGTGTGTGAGGGAGATCAGCCCTGAGCTAACATCCGTGCTAATTCTCCTCTTTTTGCTGAGGAAGACCGGCTCTGAGCTAACATCCATTGCCAATCCTCCTCCCTTTTTTTTTTTCCCCCAAAGCCCCAGTAGATAGTTGTATGTCATAGTTGCACATCCTCCTAGTTGCTGTATGTGGGACGCGGCCTCAACATGGCCGGAGAAGCAATGCGTTGGTGCGCGCCCAGGATCCGAACCCGGGCCGCCAGTAGCAAGCGCGCGCACTTAACCGCTAAGCCACGGGGCCGGCCCTAGACCTTATTTTTAAAAAAGCAAGCTCTACAGAACACGACTTCCACTTCCAAGAACAACAGAGCGCTTACCAGAAGCACTCCCTCTATCAACAAGCAAAAACTACTCAGCAACAGAAAGGAGTGAGCAAGTGACATATGCAACATGCATGGATCTTAAAACAATATACACAGTGAAAGAGCCAGGCACCAAAGAGGACTCACCATGTGATTCCACTTGTGTGACATTCCAGAAAAAGTAATCAGATCAGTGGTTGCCTGGGGTTAGGGGTGGAGGAAATTGGAGTGATGTTCTAGATCTTATTGGGGTGGTGACCGCAAAGATTTATACATTTGTCAAAAGTCATCAAATACACACTTAAAATGGGTATGTTTGTTTTACTGTATATAAATTACACCTCAATAAAGTCAATTAAAAGAATGGTAAAACTTACAAAGACCAAAACAATACCAGACTGAACAGAATTAACGTTTCTTTTGCATATAGAGGGTACTTCATTTAGTACTTCACTATCACCATTATAAGCTGCAACTTCCAAGGAACTGAGAACAGAGATGCAGGGTTTGCAAATTTTAAGATAAAACAGCTCTCATCGGGCGACAGCCCCATGGCTTAGCTGTTTAAGTGTGCGCGCTCCGCTACTGGCGGTCCGGGTTTGGATCCCGGGTGCGCACCAACGCACCGCTTCTCCGGCCATGCTGAGGTGGCGTCCCATATACAGCAGCTAGAAGGATGTGCAGCTATGACATACAACTGTCTACTGGACCTCTGGGGAGAAAAAGGAGGAGGACTGGCAATAGATGTTAGCTCAGAGCCGGTCTTCCTCAGCAAAAAGAGGAGGATTGGCATGGATGTTAGCTCAGGGCTGATCCTCCTCACACACACACACACACAAAAAAAGCAGGAGAACTCCTGCCTAAAAAAAAAAAAAAACAAAACAGCTCTCGTCTACTTGCTGCTTACTAGTAATTTAATTTGAAACAGTAGAATAGCTAATAACTTTAAATCTAGTGCACCTAAGCAGGGGAATGGCTCACGTGGTGCCAGCAGCATGGCAAGAAAGGAGAGGCCCAGCAGAAGAGTTTATTTGCTCAACTCCGTGTACAATCCTCAGCATTCCTGTCCCCCGTGTGGGTCTGTCATTTAGGTCCCTGGACTCAACACTTGACAATTAAGCTAAAGACCAAGTGTAGACTAAGAAGAGAAATCAGGTCACTATTTAGGAAACACAGCTTGTTAGTTTCCCCTTTGATGGCCACCACTAACCACCACCGACACAAACAAGCATCCTAAGAACTTGGCATTACCGAAGGAGATTGCTAAATGCAGAACCATCCGTCAGCATTCCCATTTTCTCCTTTGCTTGGAGGCTATGATCTTCCTAAATCTTCTGAATTCCCAAGCATTCTAAAAACAGGAAGAATTTAAACCTGACAAGCACAGCAGCGGGTTTGTCGGGAAGTGGGAGACAAAGCTGGTGCAGCTACTCAGCACAAACAGTTCCGAGGCCACAGATAAGGTTTCGGGAGGTTCCATCAGCTCTGCCACCACTCCTGCAAATTCAGCAGGTCAAGTTATGCTATAAAATAAGCAGGAGCATCCATTCAAGCCAAAAGCTTTTCCTTTACACCTGAGAACACAGACAGTTTCTGACTTATAATACTGACAGTTCTTCCTTCAGGACAACAATGGCCCTTGGAATATTTTGTTAAAAATCTGTGGTATGTTCAGCTCAGCATTAGAACGCTTCCCATTTAGAAAGCTATTTTGAGTCTAGAATAAGTGAATGAGCAGGAAATATTGAAAAGTGTATATGATTTCCTCAGACTTTCAAAATATTTCTAGAAATATATCTTTAAAAAAAAAATTCCAATTGTTAAAGACTCTTGACAGATTAGGTAAAAGAGGTTACAGCATTAGAGTGAAAAATAAAGGGGTCGGCCCGGTGGCGCAAGCAGTTAAGTGCGCGCGCTCCGCTGCGGCAGCCCGAGGTTCGCTGGTTGGGATCCCGGGCGCGCACAGATGCACCGCTTGTTAACCCATGCTGTGGCGGCGTCCCACATAAAGTAGAGGAAGATGGGCATGGATGTTAGCCCAGGGCCAGTCTTCCTCAGCAAAAAAGAGGACTGGCATTGGATGTTAGCTCAGGGCTGGTCCTCCTAACAAAAAAAAAAAAAAAAAAAAAAAGTAGAGTGAAAAAAAGGAAGAGAACGCCCAGCTACTGAAAAGAAGCTGTATCGCAATGAGTTAAAGATTTGGTGACAACTATTATCACAAAGTGGAAAGCTCCCTAAAATTCAACCAACATTTATGGAGCAATAAAGAAGCCTAAGACGCTGAAGGAGGCCCCAGGGGAATGTGAGCAGGGGTCCCCCAGGCCTGCTCTGGGGGGATGTGAGGAGCCATTCTCTGCTGCAGTTGAGGGTGTATAGGAGGGCTGCAGGGACAGAGGAACAGAGAGAGAGCATGGGGACAGCGGTGAAGCACCTGATGGAGTCGCCCCTGAGCAGTGGTGTACTGGTAAATGTTTAATACGGCTGGAGGATGTATATGATTATAACTTTACTGATACGAGGATGTGTAGCACACACTTACAAATAACAGTAAAATATATGACGTCCTTCCTTGTAAACTCCACATAGCCAATTGATTCTCACAAACTGCTTTCATTAATTTGTTTAACAGCTTCAGTGAGAAATAATTCGCATACTATAAAATCAACCCCTTTAAAGTACAATTCAGTATTTTTTAGCATGCTCACAGAGCTGTGAAACTATTACCACTAATTCCAGAACATTTGCATCACCCCAAAAAGGAACCCTGTACCCATTAGCAGTCTCTCCCTCCCCCAGCCCCTGGCAACCACTACTCTACTTTCTGTCTCTGTGGGTTTGCCTGTTCTGGACATTTCATGTCAATGGAATCGTACAGTATGTGTTCTTTTGTGACTGGCTTCCTTCACTTAACATGATTTTTAGGTTCATCCAAGTTATAGCATGCATTAGTACTTCATTTCTTTTTATGACTGAATGATATTCCATGTTTTGGATATAACACATTTTGTTTATCTGTTCATCAGCTGAGAACATTTGGGTTGTTTCCACTTTTTGGCTATTACGAATTATGCTGCTATGAACATTTGTGTACAGATTTCTGTGTAGACATATGTATTCAATGGAGCAGAATTGCTGGGTCATATGGTAACTCTATATTTAATCATTTGAGGAACTGCCAAAATGTTTTCCAAAGTGGCTGCACCATTTTACATTCCCACCAGCAATGTAGGAGAGTTCCAATTTCTCCACAGCCTCACCAACATTGTTATTGTCCTTTTTTAAAAATTTATTTATTTTTCCCCCAAAGCCCCAGTAGATAGTTGTATGTCATAGCTGCACATCCTTCTAGTTGCTGTATGTGGGACGTGGCCTCAGCATGGCGGCAGAAGCGGTGTGTCGGTGTGCGCCCAGGATCCGAACCCAGGCTGCCAGTAGCAGAGCGCGCGCGCTTAACCACTAAGCCACGGGGCCGGCCCGTTATTGTCCTTTTTTAATAATTATTATTATAGCCATCCTAGTGGGTATGAAGTGGTTTCTCACTGTGGTTTTTTCATTGATTTTTGCCAAATTCTTATATTACTAGCCAACCCATGGTTCCAAGTGACTAGCTAGTGTACTTCAGACACAAAGGTTATCTGATATTGCAGAATAGGGTGAAAGTGCAACAAGACCTACGTTGGACCTCACTTATTTGTCAATGACATGAGATTTCTTTGCTGAATTGGATAATAGCTTTTGAATACAGGGAGAATACTTCTTCTATTTGGGCTATTCACAATGTAATGGCAATAAACAAGATATACTTCTTAATTTAATCCATATTACTAACATTTTCTCCTTTACTTTCCTAAGTCTAGACAATTAACAAAATAAGAAATCAAGCCCTCATTTGGAGCATTTGCCAATTCCCATGGTGCAAATACTTCCATGATGGACGATTTCAAGCTAGCAATATGATGTTACTGAACAAGGAGTTGGGAAGAGATGCACAGTGGTATACCATCATATGGTATTTCTACCATATACGTACAATACACATAAATAACCTTATGAGCAGAGATAATTGTAAAATGTAGTAAACAAGAAGTGATGCATTTTAAGTATGTATTATCTTTGTTTTTAATATAATTTATTTAAGTATATAATTTAATGGCTGTTTTATCAGCAAAATTCCTGAAAATGTAAGGAGAAGCTCTCCTGAACAACTGCAGGACATCAGTGCTAATTCTAGCACACACTCCCCTTTCTGGATCCAATCACAAATGCATCACTCCGTTACCTCAATTCCCTACTGCCTTTTTTCAAAAGGGTGCATAACAATACGTTCCACACCACCTTAAGCAGGTTACAAGAGACGTCTTGTGGAAATGGTGGTCAAAAAGAAGTAGTATACGTTCTCATAGTTTTGTACTGTAGGGGAGGCAAAACTTTCCCTCTACCCTCTTAAAATCTCCAGCTGGGCCTGAGAATTAAATTGACATAAGACAGATTAACAAGAGAAAAGTATAGATTTTTACACATACATGGGAACCCCCAAAGGAAAATGAAGACCCCAAAAAACAGGCCCAAGTGTTGACATACTAGGTTGAGCAAAAAATAGTAATTGTGGAAAAGTAACTAAAATATATGGGGAGACTAAAGGAAGATAAGAGTTATTTTAAACAAAGTCTATACAGATTTCTTTCAGCCCCTGGTGATAAGAATATTCTTTCCTCCTGATAGAGAGAGAGAGCAGCTCTCACATGGGAGTTTCCTCTCCTGACTTCAGGATGAAATGGGGAGGTCTTTCTCAAACCTGCTGTTTTTCAAATGCTTTTTGCTCAAAATAGGCCAAAGTGGCCTATTTTGGGGTGGCATATTCTGCTACCCTTCAGTACTCTTTAGAGAGCTAAAACTTATGGTATTCATTTAAGTTCCAAAAAATGTTTTAATTTTCCTAAAGATATTTACGAGGAAATAGATGAAACTTAACAGAACATCTAAAATTATCAACACAATAAAACAAGTTTAATTATGTTTCCTATAGTTAATGTCTTCTGGAAGCAAGCAAATATAAGTTTGTGTGTATTAGAAAAATAGTAAGCAGGGTCGGCCCCATGGCTTAGCGGTTAAGTGTGCGCGCTCGGCTATTGGCGGTCCGGATTCGGATCCTGGGCACGCACCAACGCACTGCTTCTCCGGCAATGCTGAGGTGGCGTCCCACATACAGCAACTAGAAGGATGTGCAACTATGACATACAACTATCTGCTGGGGCTTTGGGGAAAAAAGGAGGAGGATTGGCAATAGATGTTAGCTCAGAGCCGGTCTTCCTCAGCAAAAAGAGGACGATTGGCATGGATGTTAGCTCAGGGCTGATCTTCCTCACAAAAAAATAAAATAAAATAAAATAAACTTAAAAAAAAAAGAAAAATAGTAAGGAAAATTTTTTTTTAGGAAAACATTTCTTGGGGCCGGCCCCGTGGTGTACCAGTTAAGTGCATGCTATCCACTGCTGGCGGCCCCGGGTTCGGATCCCGGGTGCGCACCGATGCACCGCTCGTCAGGCCATGCTGTGGCGGCGTCCCATATAAAGCAGAGAAGATGGGCACGGATGTTAGCCCAGGGCCAGTCTTCCTCAGCAAAAAGAGGAGGATTGGCATGGATATTAGCTCAGGGCTGATCTTCTTCACCAAAAAAAAAAAAAAAAAAAACCACCACATTTCTAAACCTCACTGTATGTAGTTTTTGCCGTAAGAGCTCTGTCCATTAGCCTCATTTTCTGAGCAATGAGTATCAGCAGGCTCTGCTGCTTCTGATACTTTATTTTATTTATTTATTTATTTTTTTGAAGAAGATCAGCCCTGAGCTAACATCCGTGCTAATCCTCCTCTTTTTGCTGAGGAAGACCGGCTCTGAGCTAACATCTATTGCCAATCCTCCTCCTTTTTTTCTCCCAAAGCCCCAGTAGATAGTTGTATGTCATAGCTGCACATCCTTCTAGTTGCTGTCTGTGGGACGCGGCCTCAGCATGGCCAGAGAAGCAGCGTGCGCCCGGGATGTGAACCCGGGCCGCCAGTAGCAGAACATACACACTTAACCGCTAAGCCACGGAGCCGGCCCTGATACTTTATTTTACTTTTTCATCATGTTCAGAGTTCTGGAGGATGAAGCTGCTGGAACTGAAACTTTCTACCTGTCTCATGTTAGCTTATTTCATAATTGCTGCAAATATCTTTACTTAGATGAATTTTTTTCACAGCTGCAGAAGATGCAAGAGACTATAACTGATAAAAGTTAAAGGGTGATGAAAATAATAATCATAATAAGCTTTCACATATTGAGGTATATTGAGAATAAGCCATTCTGGTTTAAATCTGATTCAGCCTAAAAATTGTTTTTTCCCAGAGTAGCTTCACTTATGGCCCACTGAATATGCACTGTACATCTGCTTCAAATATTCTCCCGAAGCAAAGAATACACTCTTTAAAGACAGAGATGAATGTCCTCCTTTCTCCGATGCCAATATCAGTACTTCTTTGAAGATGAGCTTTTCTTCCCAGAGAATCAAGGTTAAGTTCACCTGCTGTGTATGTGCTCAACTGCAGCAAAACATCTCCTTGTGACTTTGGGGAAAAAAACTGTATTCCTATCATGTTTGATGTATGTTCTTGTTCTGAAATGATATATAACTATGCTGTAAACCACGCTCCTCCAGAGTGCTTTCTTCCCTAGGGAAGATAACACTTCTGGGCTAGTCCTCAGCATTAGCTCATCAATAAATATCACTCTATCTTTCCTATCTATAGATTGGTTATTGATTATTTGCATTGACAAAGGAGTCAAACACTATCTTGCAAGAAGCCTTCTTCTCTGTGGCTGAAGGAATAAGTTTTGCAGAATTCACGGCCCTAAGCAACACTTAACTCTGGCACCCTCATACCAGGCTGTTTAATCGGGTACAGCTGTACCTGATTTCTTCCTGCGATGGCTGCCTGGAGGTTTACAGGGTGTCAGCTGACGGCTCTACTTCTGCCCACCACTATAATTCTGTGACAAGCTAGTCTAAGAAGCTCCAACTGCCTCCAGACTGCCCCCCGCCTTGTCTACTCTATCCCCACACCCACCAATTCTCCAGACTGCAGCCAAAGCAACCTCTCCAAAACACCCAATCTAACCATGCTACTTCCCTTGAAAACCTTCGGTGATTACTCATTACCCTCAGGAGAAAGTCTAAAATCCTCACTGTGGTCTGGCAGGCTAGGCCTGCCTGGCCCAATCACTCCTTCCTCCTCCACCCACTGGAACTTCCTTTAATAACATGACAGCCCACTCTATCCTTCCTCGGGAACTCTACTTATGTTCTCTCTCTGAATTCTCCTCTCATCTCTTCCTTCACAGGCCTCAGGTTCAATGGCATGTTCCAGAAGCCTCCTGAGGCTTCCGTGAGGTGAGCCCCCTCATGGCACTTGCTCACATCTGTTTCTCCCACTGTGAGTTCACGGGGGCACAGACTGCATTTGTCTGTCCGTTCTCTGGTGGTAACAAGCACTTGTAGGCATGTTCTTCCCAGTTTTTAAAAATCTTTCCTGTTCACTTTCTCTATGCTTATGCAGAGAAATCCACTTCATCCTCAAAAAGCTTGATTTATATGAATGATTTGGCGGACAGACATCTCAACAAGTTGATTTACATGAACGATTTGGCGGAGAGACATCTAACAAAATTTAACTAGATATGGCAATTACTGATGAACTAGCATCGGAATGCTCAGAAGTTCTACGGGGGCCAGAAGTCACCAGCGTCAAGAGTCGTCTTTACATAATTTCTAGTTCTTCTTCTTTTTTTTTTTT